TTCTTCAGTCTAGTCCTTCTTTAGTACCATTGCCTCTGTTAATCGAACAGATCATTGTCATATCCAACTTGGTCTCTTTACTTCTAGTCCATGCTCCACAAACACAATGGTATCCTGTGTCCCAGAGCCTACACTGATTCCCTTTCACTTTGTGTATTCATTCCATCACCTCTGATGATTTGCATGGTCCTCCCTAATGTGGTTCCTGTGCACTTATTCAAAGTTATTCCTCAGTAATCTTCATCCTACATGTTTCCCTTTGCTTCCCGTACTGTCATTTTAGATCAACAACAAGTCAGAAGCTAACAGGGGCCAGAAGTAGGCATAAGATAAATCAATGGGCATTGGAAACTTTGAGGGACTATGAAGTCAACAGATTGCAGCTGCTCTAATGAGAGAGTATATTGTTTCTGAAAGCATGAGAGACAAGCTAGAGTCAGAATAAGATGGATTCAGGAACAGAAGAAAAGATGTTCCATTTTTTAACAAGCTGAGATCAGTTTTTATGAGTTAAGACCAAATAAAACATAGACAAGAAAATATAGGCAGAGAAGAGGAGTTGACATTTGAAGTCTGATTTTGGCAAGCAGATCTCTACAAAGGTCCAAGCCTTTATTCTCATACTTGGCCCCAGCTCACTTTAACTCTTACCTTCAATGTCTCCAGCTCCACAAATCTTGAATCTGTAGTCAGTTTCCTTCCTTTATATCTTTTCTTTATAGTGATTCCCCCCTGGATTCTTTTCTTTGGGGCAAATACTAAAATGTAATCCTTGATTAAATATTGATTCTCTTTCCCCATTTCGTGGATTTCCTCAGAGTTCAAAGTTGGCAAGAATCTATAGTGATAAATGATTCCTTTTTGCAGCAGATGTTGTTTCTGAGATTTTGGGGGGTCAGAGGAAAAGAAAATAATTGTGATTTTTCCAATAAATCTGCTAAACACTGCAGTGAATTATGAACCTGAGCAGAGAGGATAATTATCCAAGAGGCCCAAACACAATTGGCAAATATTTCATATTTGAAAGCTATAACTTAATTCAATTAATTTGGAAACCATCTAGTTTAAGTCTGGCATTCTATCTAAATTAAAAGTCATGGAATTACAAAATTGTATTTGATAATAATATTTATTTATCTTATTTAGTGCCATACTCAAGTTTTAATTAAAACTCTGGGGTTTTTCATCTCTTTCAATGTGTTTTACCTCATTATTGTCACCGTTCCTCCCTGAAATAGCACCTAATGCGATATTGCAAAATAAAAAGAAAAAAAGAATTTTCTTGTGAGTTTCTTATCATTTACAATATTGGCTTTCTGGTCAACACCAAAAATATAAATTATAATAAAATTTCTTGTCTACACTGGTTATCCTTTCCATATAACAAACATCACACCCCTTTCAAGATAAAATTCATAAGATCCATTACAAACAAAATGTTAATGTACATTTCCAGATATATTACAAAGACATACAAGCAACTTTAAAGAGTTTTAGATGTAAGTGTGAAAACCCAGAAATGCTTTGAAATACCATAAATATATACATATGTAGACTAACTTTTCTTTAAAGTACAATATAAAGTTGTGATTTTATATTTATTTACTTACATAATTATTTGATTAATGTCATGAGTTCCATACGGGTCTGGAACATTTGTTTTTTTGGTTTGGTTTTTTTTAGCTGACCACCCAATCTCCAATACCCAGCTCAGCACCTAGAATATGACGAGTATTCAATAAATGGTGTTGAATGCACGGAGAAAAATCAACTCTAGTTATCCATAAAAACCATACCAAGGAGCAAGAGGAAACTTTTTGGAAGTGATGGATACATTTATCTTGAATGTGTTCATGGCTTCATAGGTATATACATATGTACAAACGTATCAAATTCTACACTTTATGTAAATTACACTTCAATAAGCTGGCTTTTTAAAATGTCAAAATCCATAACAATACCACACTAAACATATATTCATGACACCTCTGGAGACAAATTTTAAAACAGCTTTAAGATACAATTCACATAACATATAATTCACCCATTTAAAGTGTACAGATTCCCAATGAGAACCTTTGTTGCAATAAAATCAGCCTCTTTGTTCCCCACCCCCAAACATATATGTTTTTCCATCATTCCATGTATCTTAAACATTCATTAGACAATTATTATTAAGTACTTTCTATATGCTTAGCATTCCTAACTGGAACAATGGCTCATTTCTATAGCCTTAACCCTTCTTGAACACCTAGCTCAACTCTATTGATCACCCCAGTTCTTGGACTCTTCCATTCTCTCAGTGTCTGTAGTTTTTGCTGCTTGTCCATTTGGAATTAAGTGTCAGCCATTTAGTTATATTGTTGGTTAACTTTTACATGTGCACTAAATGTCTCTGTAACCTAGCACTCTGGCTCAGCACCTCACACATATTACACATTTAGTGTATATTTTGTAGAGGATGATAAAACTTGGTCCTCGGAGAAGCTGTTCTTGAATAACCCTCTTCTAAGTTCATCAACAGTGGAGTCATAGGACCTGCAAGTTTTTAAATGATCTTGCTGACATCTGAATTGTACTAGATTCTGTGACAAGGTCATGTTGCTGGAAGCAGAGTTCCCTGCCAGGGGCTGGCACATTGTGCTTCTTACAACAATGGAAGATGAGAAGATCTGAGAGGACTTTGAAATCAAATAGATACCGATTAGTGCCATACTGAACTTCAATCAGGTTTCTGAGCCAATAAAAATGTGTGTGATTTCTAGCAATCAGGAATGAGTAATTTTTTAGAAATGAGTTAGTTGAGACACTCTTATCATTATGGACAAGATGATAGAATAATCTGGGAAAGGACACACACTAAGCTATAGACTATATCATGCAATGTTCTTCTCTGTAAAAAAGGCTGCTGTCGTTTCCTGTATGAATGATATATGTTGTCAACTTTGCTGATGGGCTGTTAATGGGACACACACATGCAGGCATATATAAAACAGATTGCCCTATAGAAAACAGGTAATCTCTCTGGAACTCCAATTAATTGTTATTTGTAAATAAGCAGAATTAAACTTCATTTGAGGGCTCATTAGAAATTACAAAGGTGATTGCTCATAAGTCAAGTACTGTCATGATACTATGCATTGATTGTGAATTAAAAACTGGCTCTGACTTCCTATGAAATTACATCCAAAATGTAAACCATAAAAGCACTGCATTTTCCCTGGTTTCTGTTCATTGACTTTTAAAGCTATTTTTTACTACTTATTATACTTAGCCTTTTAATTTTGTTTTAGACTTGTGTTCATCAAGCCAGAAGAAGGCTTCTTTATACAGGGAGGTCCTCGCTCTGAAAGGAATAAAAATGGCCAGTGATGACAGTCCTAAAAAAGCTGTGTGCTCATTTCTTCCTTTTAGAAGACCACACTTACAGATCGTGACCATCACGGGAACAAAACATTTATCTGGAGTCCTGCTCTACCCTGTGATGTTTCCTGAACACTGCAAATACATTTTTTTGGTTCTAATCCCAGCCTCTGAATCAGAGCCAACTAGAGTGGGTTTTTCATAAATATGCATTGAATGCCTGACTCAGTACTAATGTAGGGCAAGGCTCTGATTGGCAAATGCTACCTGCAGGAGGCAGAGGAAATACCACTAGTGGAGATAAGATGCTATTAACAGATTTGATTTTATTTTCCTTGAGGTTTGGGAATAATCACATATCTCTCTAGTCAAACCTTCAGGATCTGAAAGCAGTTCACATAAAAGGCCTCCATATAAGGCCCTCTTCCATCAGGTGCTGGAGGAAGAGCACAAAATGAGGGAAGAAGCAAAGTGCATCTAATTTAATTTACTCCTTTCTTGCCATTTCAGCCGTTCACCAGAATCTGGATAAAACCTTACATCCTAACTTAAAGGTGAAATCAGCAATAAATTTAAAATACTGTATTTGTTTTGATAACTTGTATACAAAATAAAAGGTAACGAGGTTACCACGATCTCTAGGATATGAGACAAATTAAAAATTCGTATTATGGATTTTATACTAGGACCCCTCCCCTCTTTTCAGTTAAAACTACTGCACCAATTTCCTGCAGGTTTCACTAAAAGCAAAAACCCAAAACAAAAAAACTCCCTTTTTAACCCTCTGGCCCAGTTTTTATTGCAATTCCAGAGCTTTGTCAGGCTGCAGGGCACGCACTAGGCGGGATGCACCAGGTCCACTCACAAGCCAGCCCCAGACGCACACAAGCACCAGGAGCAGGAGGAAAACCGGCGCCCGGGGACTGCGCCTAAGAGCCTGTTGCTTGTGGGCCAGACAAGGAAGCAAATACGGCTCAGACGGAGAGGGCTGGCGGTGCAGGAAGGCTAGAATTCCACCCGGGCGGCGAGCTCGCGGACCCTTTCCACTGTTGTTGGGCCGGGATTAACCCTCGGCATTCCAGCCCCTTTAGCCCTTGGCCTTCCCACTCAGACTAGCCCCACTTTTCAGACCCTGGGTGACTCCATTCCTTTTATAAACCAGAGGGTAATGAGAGCGGCTATTCAAGGATGCAGGAGCCAGAGTATCCCTTCCTCTCTCGCCAAGACTTGAGAGAGTCAGAAAGGCATTCAGGGAGGACTGGATAAGCCGAAGCCGAGGGGCGGAGCGACAACCCGGTAAGGAGGAGACTGATAGATGACAACTGTCCCCCCGCCGGGATGGTACGGTCCGAAGAGGGGCGGGGCGGAGGAGGTCTCTACGGTCTCTCCCTGCCCCTCTCCCGCCTGGCTCGCAGCGCTGCCGCGGGAGCGTATGAGCGCGCGCCCCGGCGACCCCTCCCCTGGCGCTAGCGCCCGAGCTCCGCCCCTTGCCCGGCCGCCCCCTCCGCGGCTGCAGGGAGAGCTCATCCAGCTCTGCGGACGCCGCCACCTTCGTCGCCTCTTGTCCCTGCTGCAGGCGTGCGGGGCCGCGCCCCGCGGCTGCCCTGCCCTGGGTGGGCGGCGGAGCCCGAGCGGCTGCTGAGCGATCGCTCGGCACAGCCAGATCTTCCGCCTGCGCGGCGCAGTGACAGGTGCAGAGTCTGGGCTGAAGACCCACCTGCGGCCGTTTCCACGATGCCCACCATGCGGAGGACTGTGTCGGAGATCCGCTCCCGCGCTGAGGGTGAGTGGCCGCCGCAGCGCGGGACTGTGCGCTGTGCGCACGGTGGGAGGCTTCGGGCTAGCCTGGGAGGTGTGTGTGTGTGTGTGTGTCGGGGAAGAGATGCCTGTTCCACCTCTTCCCCCAGGCAAATCTGGCTGTTGCCCCTGGCAGACCCCTCTTCCTGTGGCGCCTCCAGTGCACTTGCAGACCCCTTCCCAGCTCCAGAGCCGCCAAGGCTTGCTTTGCACTGCTGCGTGATCATTGGGTCCAGTCGCCGAGCGCTCGCGCCCAACCCACCTCCCTTCCCACTGGCTCATAAGCCACCCTGCCTCCACTTGACTTCCCCCGCCCTAGTGAACAGATTCCCAACCCTCAGCCCCCACCGCCCACCTTTTGCACACTACTGCTCCCGGAGAAGCGAGTTTGCCTTTCCCAGGCTGCAGGATCCTTTGATCTACAGCCCCTTGCCTCTCAGAGCGCGAGGAGCCTTAATTGGGGTCGGGTGCTCAGCGGGTACTGTGCGTTAAGGTCTCTGCAGTTCTGCCTCCTGCAGCGGAGTCTCACCCAGCTACCGTCTGAAGTTTCGTTTTTGTTTTTTGCTTTTGCCTGAAGCCCGCACTGTGGCTAGCTGAGCTGACTTTTTAGCAAGGTGGAAGCTCTTTCCTTTGCTTCAAGCCAGGGCCAGCTGTTGAATGGCTACACTTGTCAGCAATGAGCAACAGATGCCCAGGGCAAGTAAGCTTTCGGAGGGCCGAGACTCTCTCCTCTTCCTAGGGAGCCCTCAGCATCCTGCCTAGCATGTGGCAGTCACTCGGTAAATCATCTTCCATTTTGCTCAGGGCAAAGCCAAGATTGTACATACCTCGAGTTTTGTTTTTCTCTCCCACAAACCCATTTTTGAACCTTGCAAAGGGTTCAAGTAACATGCTTTTGAGAGCTAGTCTATCTTGCGGTAATCACTGATTTCTACTCTTCTCCACACCTCGCCATTTAATATGAGGCAGGTGGTAAAGTGGTTTTAGGAAAGAAAAAAAAAGTTAGGAAATTGGATTCCAGGGGCTTGAGACAGGCCATTGTATTATTTTTCCTCCCCAGAGCCCCATGTGAAGAATGGGGGCCCTGGGCTCCAATATCTGTGATGTTTCTGATGACAGTGCTTGAGAAATAGTAAATGAAACTCCTCTGGGGAGAAGACCAAGAGTCAAAACTGACTTGTGTCCTACATAGGAATTTAGTACATATTTACTGGTATTTGTGATATAAGGAAAAAATATATAGGACATCACAGTTTTAGATGCACAGCTGTTATAAAAATGTGCATAGTAAAAGTGTATTTTTTCATACTTCTGAGTGAAACGAATGAATTTTCCTAATCACCATTTGAGTGAGCTATACAGGTAATGAAAATAGTCATAGTTAGGAATGTTCTTTCAAATAATAACAACTGATGAATCACATATTGTAGGAAATAGGGAAGAGAAAAAAGACCAGAAAACAAGGCAAAACTTGTGGCACATGAGAGTATTTTATCCCTGTTGAAAAGCTACAGTATTGTTTTTATAATACTGGCAATGTGTATTTTTCAAAGCATTTCACATAGGTTACCTTATGGAATATTACAACACTCCTGGAGGTTGGTGAAGGTGGGGCCATCTGATAGTTGAGGAAACTGTGGCCCAAGTGGTTTCGGTTCTTGGCCAAGGTCGAGTAGCTAGTGCAGTGATATATTTGGATTAAGAGCTCTGGGAAAACAAGATCTGTTTCTTATTTAATCTTTGTGTTCCCTGTGCATCCAGCACATTTCAGGGGCATAGTGGCACTTGTTAAATGACCCTTCCCTCCCATATTGGTTGGTTTCTGTTTATTATGTGTTCAGCATTATGGTGAGGACAACATAAATAATGACTGTGTGGGCTGGCACTATGGCTCATTGCCTGCTCTGCCCACACTTTTCTTTCCTAAGGAATAGTCTCCTTGGACAGCTCCCGCTGCCTAAAGGGCCTTGTTCTGAACTGCAACCCCTTTGGCCTCAGCTATTCGGACCAGGGTAGGCTCCTGACGCAAGGGCAGACAATCTGTGGGTGACTAGGACACTTGTAACCTTGTGGGTTGGCTCAAAAAGATTCTCTGTTGGTGATCATCTCTCTTATGGGATAAGTTAAGCTTGGAGAGTTAGAGTGAAAATTGAAGTAGAAAGAGACACAGGTGAACAGGCTGGTAGGGGAGAGAATGGCTGGCTGTCGTAGGTCATGCAAATACTGCTGATAGAAGGAAGCAGAAGCTCTGAGTGAACAGAAAGATAGGAGAGAGAATGGATTAGATGGAGAGACTGGGCAGAGAGAGACAGATGCTGAAGCACCTCCCTCCCTCCCTGAGCTTTCTAGTTCCATTTCCCAAATAGAGTTGAAATAGGCCCCTTTTTCCCCTTGAAGTGACTTGAATGGGTTTCTGTTTCCTGATCCAGATTGGCCAGATAGATGCATGACTCTCCTAAGTGCAAGTTATTTACAACCAAACCGGGGAGAAAAGACTTACATGAAATAAGGAATGCATAGTCTACGAGGGGATATTATTAACTGAACATTGTGCTTGCTCTGCGTGATGTAGGTCCTGTAAAAGGTCAGGACATAAGAGCGTGAGGCCTGCCAAGAGAACACTTCATTGAGGAATAACTTGAGATGAGTGCTCACACGGTGCTTCTCACACTTTAAGGTGCACACGAATCACTTGGGGGTCTTGTTAGATGCAGATTCTAAATCAGTGAGTCTGCAGTGGGACTGGAATTGCTGCATTTCCCCAAGCTCACGGGTAATGCTGATGCTGGCCTGTGGGCCACAGTTTGAGTAGCAAGGCTCTAAAGGATATTTTTTTCAGTAGCTGGGATGGTGTTGAAAGTAGAGAGTAACCAATTGAAAAAAGGGTCAAAATGAACATGGCTTATTTGAGAGTTCTTAAGGAAATTGGCCAGGAACAGAGGGAAATTTGGAAGGAGTAGGATGTTGGATAGGTGAGGTACTGCAAAGCTACAGAGTATTTTGAATGCCTGAATGAGTCATTTGGATATAAAATCCAGTCTTTGAGGAAGATCTTATAGTTTGTCTAATTCAATTTCTCATTCAAGCATAACAGGGCCAGTTAGGAGCCAAATCAATGTAGGAGAGTGACATCCCCAAAGATGTGTTTTAAAGAGATTAGTTTGGAAGTATGTTGGATGGCTTGAAGAGTATGACACTGTAGATAAACTCTATTGTGTAAAAAAAAAAAAATTTCTAAAAATGATAAAGGCCAGGATTAGTATTAGAGTGGAGCAGTGTGAATGGGAAGGGAGGAAGCAGAAATATTTATGAGTAAATCATTAACTTGTTTAACAGATACCTATTGAACACCTACCAGTGAGCAGAATACAAAAAGCCCTGCCTTGGAGGTACTTTCATTCTAGTGAGGTGGAGAAAAAGCCAACACAGTAAATTAGCAAATTATAGAATTTGTTATGTAGTAAGTGTGATTGAAAAAATAAAGAGAATAAAGGTAAGATGCTTAAGGCTGATGGATGGATTACAATTTTAAGTAGGTTGGTTAGGCTAGCCTTCACTGAAAAGTTAGAGGAGGGACAGGAAGGGATCTGGGGAAGGGTGTTCCAGGCAGAAGGAACAGCCAGAGCGAAGACCCCAAGGCAAGAGATAGTCAGGAATGTTAAAGGAACTGTGATGGAGGAGAATAGCAGAAAATGAGATCACAAAGGTTACATCATAGGACATTGAAGTATAGTGAATAGAGGCAGGAGACAAACAGATTAAAATAATAGGAGATTCTCAAGCAGCAATTTCAAATTTTAATGTTTACAATATCTCAGGTATCTCATTAAAACTGCAGTTTCCTGGGCTGACCTATGAAGATTCCGTTCAGCAGATCATTTTTTGAGAAACTCTGCTTTATATTGGGTTGTTGGAAAAGTCATGATGCATTTTTGCAACAAAAAACATGGAAAAAATACGTCATGACTTTTCCGACAACCCAATAGCCTTGAAACTGATTGATTGGGAAAATGTATTAAAAGATAAGGAAATTGAGAAGCAGGGTCAACACAATAAGAGAAGATGTGAATTCAAATGTTGAGGTAATTATGGGACATCCAAATGGACATATTTTGAAGATACTTAGAAATTTGGAGGTTAGACGTGGTGAAAAAAATCAAACAGGAATCTTGAGTTCAGAGATAGCAGCTGAAACCCTGGTAGTAGATAAATTTGCCAGAAACCAAGAGTAGATGAAGCAGAAGGCTAAGAATTTTAGGTCTCTTCACTTCAACCCTAAAGCTAATGGGTCTCCGAATACAGCATGAGGAATGCTAGAAACATGACTGGAACAATAGTGGTTTTACCAAAGTAGTTTTTCATGTTCTTGTAAAACTAGTGAGGTAGTATGGGTCAGCTATGCCCACTCCATAAAGTCATAAAGGACATTGGCTCCTTAGGGCTTTCTGCTTCACCATCCTGAGTGTATCACTTCCTAAAGTCATAGTATGGTCGCTGGGGTTCCAGCCATTGTGTAGGAGTTCCAGGTAGGAAAAAATGAAACAGAGAGACCAAAGGGTTTTCCTGGAAGTACCACACAAAGACTAATGCTTATTTTGCATTGGCTCCCATATATAAAGGAAGCTGGGAAACAAATTGCGTTTTCTAGCCAGGCATATTACTCAGTGTTTATTACTATAGGAAAGAGGAAGAATGGTTATCCAGTAAGCAGCTAACAGGCACAGTCACCATCAGGTACTCAGATAATCAAAGGCTTTCTCTGGAATAAAATAAGTATTCTGTAGCTCATAGTTTATAAAATAATAAGCATTAAATTGTTCAAAACGAAGGAAATGCACCCCAAACACATAACTATTCAATGATTTGCATTTTCTTCTGCCGAATGTTATAATGCTAAAAGGTAAGACCTTCATTTGATTATGGAAAACATGTGCTAAGTGATAAATTTAGGAGTTGTTTTGGAGGTTGCTTTCCTAAACTGGTCTG